CAAATTTTATTTGTGCAAGTAGAAATATTTAAAACTTTCTGTCTGCACAAATAAAATTTGTGGAAATATAAAGCAAAGCTGTAATTATTTCCCAGTTTATTTGCTGAAGAGCTCCCTTTCTTCTTTATATGGTCTAGAAATTTCTAATGTTTAAATAATGTCATAGGCTTAAAATTTTTTGATCACATGACTTCAAATAATCTAAGTATAACACATTTTATTTTGCATGTTAAGTACAGGTAATATCTTACTTTTTATTGGTTCTCCTGCTTGCATTTTTATTTTTTTGAAATAATTATTTTGGGAGTTTTTCTTTTGCTTTAAAAACTTGAAACTACCGAGTCTTTTAATGGTATTCATTCTGGCATTAGTTTAAATTAATTGCGAGTCTTTTTGAAAAGCTATACATAATTTGTAAAAGGGCTACAAAGGTAACTTTTATAAATAAGATTTTGTAAAATTAATACAACTGATATTAGTTGTAAAGATACTTAAGATATCTAATTGCAAAACTTCTTTCAATAAAGTGGGCTAGTGCATGACATCATAAGGCCTGTGATTGTATTTTGCTAATAAGCATTACAATGTGTGTGAAACAACACTTGTGAACCAATTGTTATGGGCCTGTTACATAATTGCATAGTTTACGATTATGCTACAAAGCAGTTTTTATTTCATTATAAGTTGTAAATTTACTAATTAAATATAATTTAGATTAAAAAATGTTTAATGATTATCATGTTTTATGTCCAATGTATTTATATTTCAAACATATAATGACATTTATGAGATACCACTTTTCATGAATGCAAGTGCAGATCTGACCAGTATAATGCCATGGAATTGGAATGAATTAATCAAATATATTTATCTTTGTCTTGTGTTTGTTTTCATACTTATGATGATTATTTTGCATTACTAGCTTAATATATGTATTTAGAACTCAATCTCTTATGCTGGTCAAACCTAGAGAAACATTATTAGCATTACAGCCGGAAACATTGATAATAGTGAGTAAGCCCAATGCATGAAAATATATAATTTAAACATAAATTTTATTTATTTTAAATTGTTATATGACATTGTTTACCTCAAGTTAGTCCAGTATACAAAATCAGATTTTACTTTGATCAAAGGTTATCGATAAACATTATGTAAAAATGTGTTACTGCATAATCTCTGTGCAAAACTCACCAACTTCTCCCTCAATAGTAAGATCATTCAGTAATTCTTTCAGTAAATTTTGAGACCAAAATGAAGCATTCTTTTCAGTCCTGAAACAGATAGAAAACATTTTCATCCACTAAAACAGTAATATACATATATATATTTGTCTATAACTCAGTATTTATCCTTTATTTAAAACAATTAACTATGATACTATCTAGTATGTAACATAGCATGGTTTGTACAAAATAAAATAAACAATAAAACCATGTTTCTCTACTTACTTAAAAAGTAACAATAATAATTAAAATGCATGTTAGATGACTGAGAGACAAATTACATTGGTGAGAAAATAAGAAAAGCCTTTACAAGTTAATTATACTTATTGATAACAAATTGTGAGTGAAAGTAAATAGGTGTATAATAATGTTTCAATTATGCTATCTGTTAAACCCAGTACTAATGAAGCCTCCTGCCAGGACTGGAAAAAAAACAAAAACCAACAATTTTTTGGAGTTTATAAAACTGTTGCTCCTATATGGAAAAACAAAGTTTAATCTGTTGAATGTGCATTCTAGCCAAGGTCCTTCCTAAGACAAATATTAGGCAAATGATCAAGTTTACATTAAAATGAAAACTGAAATAACAGCAAGTAAAATAGCTATGAAACAAACATTCTTCCTGTTTACCATGTTCTTCTCCTTGAGTATTCAATATTTTTATTGTATTCAGTCCAACCCCTCACACACTATTTTGCATACCAAGCATCAGATGTTACTATTTTCCTACACTGAAAATATATTTTGGATAGATACTTACCTCTTCTCACAAAATAGTTTTCCTCGATTTGTACTGTCCTCTATATGCTCAAATTTTTGTTCGCCACTAGCCTTTATGATCCCACCTACCTCTACATGGTATAGCATACGATAACCCTCTATCAATAGGAATGTGACATACCCTCCTAGCACAGCTGATTCCCTCTATGCAATAGAACCCAAACTTCACTTCGAGATTATACACCAGAAGTGGGGAGGACAGGTGGGAAGTGTGAGTTTAGGTATCTATTAGAAATATATTTTCAGTGTAAGAAATTCCACTCGAATCTCACATTGAGCAGGTGGAGGGACCAGTGTGAGAGTAACCTAGAGGAGTCCCCTTCAAATAGTTTCTGAAGAGTACCAAAGGAGTGTCATCTCAATGTAGAGTAAACGCACTCATGGGAGACTGCACCATGAAATGGGTTGTAAAGAGGTACATCCAAAGGGGGGAGGGGGGAAATGGGGATACGAAGGTAAGCATTGGACACGTTGATCTTTGTTATTCAAAAACCAAGAGTAAAACCCACTGAAGAGATAGGAAAGACTCCATGGTGAAATGAGAAATTTCATAGAGCAGTTCAGACTGGAAAGATCTATAACAGGACAACAATCTCTGGTCTTCTTGGGGAAATAGAAACCTGGAACAGTGGGAACTACTGTTTCTATAGCATCTTTGAGGAGAAGATCTTGAACTGCTGCAGAAAGATGTTGGCTAGAAAGAGGGTCCTGAAGAGGGAGGGGGGGAGAACAGGAAAAGGTGATAAGGGAGGAGGTGAAAGGAAATGAAGGGAGAGTCTTTCTGATAAGGCCTGAAGAATCCATGAGTCTGTGGTAAACAACTCCCATATACCTGAAAAAAGAAACAGTCTGGCCCCTACTGGACTCAATTCAACAGGACAGTCACTGGTACCGATGGCAGCATGTGAGTCAGCAGTGAACAACAGTATGCCATGAAGGAGTGATCCGTGAGCAATGAACAGGTAAGGGAGAGGAAGGAGCTGGGGAAGGTTCCAACAAACAAATGGCCAGGGAGGAAAGTGAAGTATGTAAATGGGTGGATTTCGCTCACAACTCCAATAAGTCAGAAAAAAAACCCAGCTTGCTGCGAAAATGGGGCCATGCTTAAATTATGCAAAGTTGTAGGGGGAGGACAAACATGAGTTAAAAGAGCATCCCAGGGAAGGGGCATCTGCTGAAAACCCCTCAGGGGAACAATGGAGAGCCTCAGATAAAAGGCATTTGGAAGAAAGGTAATAAAGGAGAGATATTAAAGTCAAATGAAGGCAAGAAAATTGTACTTATGAAAAGAGTACAGAAGTATCAGGGTCTGAACCACATATGGGAGGAAGTGAATCCAATTATTGCGTGTCCAGAAAAATATACTCTGAATGATGGTGTGCCAAAGCGTAAGCCTCAAACACGCGTGGGGATGTGGCATGCTGACCCCCAAATGCAATTGCTGGACGAAATACTCAGTGTAGACCCCAATATCAGGTGAAGAAGGAAGACCAGTCAACAGGGAAGGAGACAGGTCAGAGGACAAGAGAGACAAGGACAAAACACAACATACCAGTGATTCTAACTCCAGAAAAGGAGAAGAAGGTCATGGCATGTTCCTTGTCTGAGAATGAGATTGCATGGTAAAGGAAGGGGGCTATCCAAATCTTCATCATCCTATACCAGCTCCCCTAAAAAGGGGAGAAGTTGTTGATGTACAGGAGACCCCTCAGCCCACATGAAAAAAATCATCCCCATGTTGACAAGGGCCAAAACTTCCTCAGCCGATAACATTGAACCTGAAGTTACCATGATAGGCTGCTGTTCACTGGCAGGGTCCAAAGCAGTAGTGGTTGTTAATTCTTTTGAGTGCAAGCACACCACAGTAATTAGATGAAATGACTGTAATGTGATGTAGTAATGAAACTTCATGAAAAAAAGTAATAAACCAAAGTATAAAAAAATGCAAAGTCAAACAAATTATTGGTGAAGTTCAAAAACAAAAGCAAAGTCTCAAATGCAAAAGGCAATGAACATCAAATTTAAGCAAGACGCGAGTGAGACAACAGATCACTGTTGTGCCAGATCGAGAAGTGAAGATCGGGTTCTACTGCATAGAGGGAGTCAGTTGCATTAGGAGGGTGTGTCACACTCTTATTGAAGGCAGGGTTGCATGCAAACAATGCAGGTATACCACGTGGAAAACATGTGGAGATAGGTGCTAGCATAAAGGCTAGTGGTGAGAGAAAACTTGCACATAAAGAGGGTAGTACAAATTGAAGAAAGCTATTTTATGAGCAAAGATAAGTTATTGTGTCAGAATTATGAATTTTTATCACAAGTCCAGAAATGATTATTTGATAGTTGAGACTGATATGAACTACCTGCTGTTAGTATTGCTCTTAATCTCAGTTTCAACATGTGCATATTGCGCTTGTCAGTAAGAAGCTTCAACATAGAAGCCAAAACTTTGTCTCTTCTTTCAACAAACAATTCAAGTTCTCCAACCTACTATGTTTATTCTATCTAAAATTTCCATTGAAACACCATCATCTAGCGAGTTTTCATTAGTAATTTTTCTAATTTATTTGTTAAACTTAGTATTTCTGGTTTTTACACTATTAAATGTAATTTTTCTATGTGACTATGTTTTCCCGAGTGAAGTTCTATGTGCTTTTTAAAAAGTATCTAAAAATTAATGGCTTTTTTTGACTGGATAAATTGGACCAACCCTGCCTTTCTACCAATATTAAAGCTTTTTAGGTTGCTGTGATATGACAGATTTAGTACTAATTGGGAAATTGGGATTCTATTTATATACTAGTAAACCACTTGACAACAACTGTTATGACGTGAACTGAATTAAGTTGGTTAAGTGTAATTTCTTAATAACTTTTAGTTATGTTACAACACATCAGAATCAGGGTAAGGATTTTTAACACAATTATTTAATGTTTTATAACATCATATATTACTTATTATTATTATTTTATTGAATATTGTAGAATTAAACTTAAAAAACAACACACACACACACACAAAAGATCTCTTGAAGTTAATGTTTATTCTGTCTAAAAAATTACAAACAAATGTGTCATTTTTCTAATTCTTTTTCAATAAACTTCTTGTCATAAAAATATAAATTCCACAAATGAAGTTAGACAAGTATCTTGAAAATCATGCTACCTAAGGAGGGAATGGCAACTTTTTATACTCCAAAAAAGGGGAAACTGAGTATTCCAGTGTCCTGATAGATTGTTCTGTGATGTCTAAATGCTTGTTCCAGCTCTCATTTTTGTCAAACTGTCAATAATCTGTATCTATTTTATACTTCTATTCAGTACCTTAAGCCTCTGATGTGAATACAGATATAAACTTTTTTCAATTAAGTAGGGAAATTATCACACAGCTTGCAATAACTTAGAACAGCCTTTGCTGCTTTCTCTGAAGTCGGCTTTATCATAAGGTAGGCAGGCAGCAGCAGATATGATGTCATTTCTACACATCACTGCAGACAACAAGATGTCACTACTGTGTATGTTACTGGACATGTGTAGGGGTTACGTATTTTGAAAAATCCTTACTGTTCAATGGACAAAATATTCAGAAAAACTGAACATTTCCCATCACATAAAACACAAACAAAAATGCAAAACAATTTTTAGGATCTCTTGTGAACAACAAAAAAACTGCAAAGTTCACAAATAAGAATAAGTGGTTGCATTAATGAAAAAAATTGTATCCTCGATGCAAGATATTCCAACTTGATGAAAAAAAACTTATTCTGTTTTCAAAGGATAAAAAAAAGAAGAAAAAAAAAGGAGAAGAGATGCAATAATAAAGTAAGATCCATCTTAATCCTTTCCAGACCTGAAAAGTATCATTTATATCCCTATTTTATTTGTTTAATTTCTAAAAGAGGAAAATTTAACTAAGCTGCATGACACTTAGAACCAATGTACTAAATATTTAAATCAAATATAATTTAGGATTAAATAAATTCCTCTATTTTGATTTAGTTTTCATATACTTTTTTTTTAGATTGTGAAATGTTCAAAAGTTTGTTGTGAGACATTGTTTTGAAAAATGAATTAAAATATTTCCTTTCCTTTTTGAATTTAAGTTGTTTTTCAAATGTTGATCAAAAAGATCTACAACTGCATTCTCAATTTGTGAATAAGCCACTTTACTATAGAACATAGTGAAGACTATTATTCTTTCAATGAAAGGGCTTGATGTTGGATAGTGATATTTTTCCGAACTGGTTAAAAATGGATAAATGTAATTGTTATGAAAAATAATAGTTCTACAAGTGACAAATCAAACTTGATATAAGTCAATTATAAATTTTGATTAGGCATTATTCTTTTCTGGTGGGTTACATAATTTGTTATTGGATTTGAACTAAATCTAGACTGAATCTATAACTATTTATAGTTCTTATGAATATTCATGATCAATGTGCATGTTCTTCACACATGAGAACAGTTCAAAACACGAGGTCAGCATTTCTTAGAATTATTGAACCAAATATTTGATACCCTTTGGTTTAATATACAATGAAAGCCATACATATTTATTAACTTCTTATAGTTGAAAAACTTGCAAATAAGTGAATTACCAACATAATTTATTGTAAGGCACATGATAAAGCATGAATCCTGACAAAGATATAGTTCAAGATAACCTCATTTTGACAGCTATCAGATCCAAGAGGAAAGGTCATGGGGTTACTTATAGCCATGTTTGCAAAATGAAAGCAAAATGGTAGGATTCCATTAATTTTGTATAAAAAAATAGTAGTTATATACATGAACACACAACTCCCAAAAGCCAGGATGTAAAAATTTTTCAATGTACATTTTGAAACACATTGATAAAAGGCTGACACAACTACTAGAAAAAGCAAGATAAAATGCACTGATAATCCAATTATTTGCATAATTTTTATTAACTTAAATTTCTAATGGTTATCATAATATTTACAACAAATACCTTATTTTGCAGACACTGCACAAAAGTACAATATGCAGATACAGTTGTTTTTTAAAGTCAGTAATATGGCAATCAATAAATGCGTTTTCCAAAGCCTGACTCGTAAGATGTGAAACAGTGAAAGGTGGAATATTTGTTGCTATATAAAAACATGCAACAGTGTGAAATGATAAAGATGAATGGAAACAATTTTGTGATTTTGATATTTAGTCCCAGACAAATAACAGAAAAAGACTGAATCAACAATTGTTTGAAAAAACTGAAAACTTACAAAACATTACAATAAGAAAAACTAAAGGAAACAGATCAGTGTTTCACAACTTGTGGGCTGCAAAGTAACATGAGGCGGACCACGAAAAGGCTTAAGATTAGAAGACAATATTTTAAAAAATGTTGCAAAACAGCAAGGAATAATGCAAAACCTGTAATCTCTCACAAAATGCAGACTATCAATTATTGAAAATTTTAATAAATTTCCATAAAATTTACACTAAATTTATTACTGAAATCACAGTATATTTGTCATGTGAAACAGTAGGGCAAAAGATGAATATCAGCTGATTTACTGTGAAAGCAGCAGGATTGGCAACATTTCCTGCAATGCGAATAGCACTATGCATCACAAGTTACCAACTGTCATGCAGAGAAATCAAGCATAGCAACTGTGAAACAACAACATAACCATATGTGTCATACTTCTATCATTTTCTGCAGTGGGTCACGAGAAGTTCTTGAAGTACAGGTGGGACATGTTACTAAGACATTTGAGAAACAATGATATAGATGAAGTGCCTTCAATTGAGGTTAACTATTTAAGTTTGTTTTTTAGTGTCAAGGTCATCATATCTTATTAACAAAATTCTACTTTATTTTAAGTAGTATCTCAAAATTTAAATATGTAGGATCCCCTCAACTTGATCTCCTCTAATGAAATAGTTTTTAAAATATTTTTCTTAATATTGGACTTATTGGTAGCTACATTCAAGGCTGGATTCAATTCTAAAAGAGCTTAGGATGTGTATTTCAAAATCTACGTACTGAAAAAGAAGGATAACAGTGGCTTTTACTAACAATAATAAAAGCAGGTTTAGAACTTTGTTATATTATACAGGTTTGTTCTTATAAAACTTTACCTTTTGTACAATAGTTGGTATTTATCACTCTTCTGTTTTTGTATTAGTTTAGTTATTATCATAATTTACCCACCTTGCAGTCTAACAAATTGCAGTGAATTTATCATTCCACTGACTGTGTGGAAATGTTTGTGATACCCTCTCACTTAAAGTCTTATAATAATAAATACAGTATGATTATTTCACTACTCATTATTATAATGAGATATTACACCAAGTTATAAATTATTTACTTCTTCTAGAATTACTACAAGTTTCACATAGTATTCCATTCATACATCTCATGCATAATTAAATGATTATGACACACTACATTTCTAAAAAATTGGAACAGTATGTCAATTATTGTCATACATTCTTGACAGAAAGGAAGAACTGGCTAACACTACAAAACTTCATTTCAAGAATTTTGTTAGATCATGAGGTACGTATATTACAGTGTCTTTAGACCATAGAGATCTTGCACCAACTTTAAAAAGTCACATGTTCAATAGTTTACCATTAGTTTTAAGTTAAAAATGAAATACTTATCTTCTAATGCTGTGTCACCAGACACTGTAAATCATTTAACCAATGTGCACAAAGGAAAATATGTTAAGAAACTGAATAGAAGTACAGTTTTGTACTTGTATCTTTTATCATAAGTGATGTTCACACCAATGAGAGCATGTAAAGCTTTAACCTTATTTTGACAACTGATATAGATTGCTGATGACTGCTAGAATCTGATGACCAATATAGCAGCATTGTATAAATCAAGTTTTGTGACACCTCATACAGATCTGATATTAGTATAGCCTAGTATGATAAATACTACACACTACAAGTACCATATCATAGATACATAAGCAGTGCTCAAAGTTTGACTCAAAGGCATGCAAAATAGTAATGTAACAGAGTAAGAATATTACAATGCAACAACAACAACACAAAGCCTAGGGAAAATCTTAAAACTATTACTATCATCAAATACTGCTGCATGAGTCAGGTGTACTAGCTGTCTACCCCTAACCCTTTCAAATATAAATTAAAACAAAAAGTTTTTAAACAGTTATAATATTAAGTTAGGCCTAGGTTTAACTATGCACGTGTTATTACTAATGAAAATTAAAATGCTAATGTATATCAAACCAACGATATAAATACGTTATGAAAATGAAATGAGATTTCCATATGGCATATGGAACTTCATATATCATTATATGAACTCACCAGTGCCAATTGTTCACATTTGTGGCATCTGGCCGTTCCTCTACAATCCATCTCGGATCTCCTTCTCCCCATTTGGCCATGTTCTTCACTTTAATTTCTTCGTTCTGATAGTCGTTAATTCCAAATACGTTATTTTGTACGCGAGAGTAATAGGAAAAACAGATTTATAGACCTTTTAATTTTTATATAATTTGTAAGTTGTAGATATACAACTCTGAATTCGGATATGCTCTCTAACTGCTAACGTCGAGAACAGTTAAGAAGAAAAGTGATGTTGTCTGAACTTTTTATCTTGTTTGAAAGTTACGTTTCAATTTTCGTAAGTTACAGTTTTTCCTTCGCTGGTTCAATTTCCCTAAGTACTGCCGAACGATTTGAACTAAGTACTTGAAATATATTCAGTTATTAATCTAACTTTACAATTACTTGGCAGCCGACGGTTACGCTGCTTTTGCTAACAGAGTGCTTCCTAAATCAAAGCAATAACCCACCAAAGCCTAGGAACACCTAGTGGTACCTTAAATCGAAGTTTCCAGACTATGCTGAGTGTATAGAGCTGCTCTCTAGTGGAATGTTAATTTAATCAATAAAAAAGAATATATATATATAGTCAATAAAAAAATTTCCATTTATGTTTCCTGTATCATTCGGATAACTATGTCATTTATTTTTACCAAGATCGTAAAACACATTTAACCTGAAAACTATGATTAGACCGTACAGGGGGTATTTTCACTCTAATTTGCGATGTGAGAAGGTTTTCAACATGCTCGTGGCATCTAGGCCAGTTTGCGCACTTAGTAGCACAAATGATCTTATTCTTACTATTTCTTTTACTTCGTAGTTTCTGATTGTCTTTCGATAGCATTCTACGTATTTATGACTTCTATTGCTGATCGCTTTAACTTTAATCCTTTCTATACTGGTTACAGGTGAAAGGCCATGTCATCTCGTTTGTTGACTCAAACCCAAAATTTTATTGAACTACTATTTCATGAATTTATGTCAATAAGTTTGGTATCAAACTGCAGATTATAATTCATATTTTAGAACTATACATTACTAAGTTTGTAAAATTTGAAAAAAACACAGATAAACATCGATTTTTGTGTGTCACGTG